AAGGAAAGAAATAAATTTAGGGCTTTCCAGGCTGATCTAATCACTGCAGGTGTTCTAATGCAATGTCATGGAGCCTGGGGGCTTACTTTTAGACTAACATAATGAATACCTTTTATAGTTATACTTTACAGATCTTGATACTTTTTAGACATGTGAACTTGGACTCTAAGAAACCCTGAATTTGATTTCTGAATATTCACAAAACCTAGATGTGCAGGGTACTCCTACTCTATCTAATGCTTCCCTAGACAAAATTTATTTGTGATATTATTCCTTTCTTAAATAATTTTCTCCAAAAAATTTAATATATACAATATCAAATACAACCAAACTAACAGTGGTTTAAATAAGTTGGAAATGCATTTCCCTCTCAAGTATAAGCTGCCAGGGTTGATATGGTAGCTTTGCCGTGCCATGCATCTAGACTCTTCTCCGTGGTTATTTCACCGTCCCCAGGGTGTTGCCTTTCTTTGCGTGGTCTGAGATGCTGATCACCAAAACCACATCCCAAGCCGCAAGATGGAGTAAGAAGTGGTGGAAGGAGAGCATTGCCCCTCACTTTAATCTCATGATCTGAAAGTCACACGTATCACTTCCTTTCACATGCTACAAGTGAGCACTTAGTTACATGGCCACGACTTCCGCCAGGGAGGGTGACAACAGGAGTCTTAAGCTGTGCATCTTACCAAGTTCCCAGCCAGAACCTGGGATCTTGTTACTAAAGAAAGAGGGGGATGGTGAATATTAGGAAATAACTAACTCTTAACACATACATTTGGATGTGTGTGTGTGTGTGTGTGTGTGTGTGTGTGTGTGTGTTTGTGTGTATGGGAGCCATGCATACAATGCTGTGCTCCATGCGATGACAGCAAAAATGCCAGACAGCACTGCACATGCTCAGCAGGAAGCTTAAGGGCACTGAATAACCAAAGGCTCCCAGCTGGGAGCCCTCCTTCACGCAATCCTTGGTGGGGTATGTTCGACAAGTGCTGTTTACTCCACTGTGGCTTCTCCTTCTGTTTGTTCATTATTTTGTGTTCTGCCAAGAGTTTTGATCCATATGGTTGACAAAAGATGTGGATAGAAACAATGGAATAATTTCATTCTGACTGTTAAAATGCAGCTCCACGGGGGTTCAAGG